AAAGATGCAAGATCCTAGACTTCCTGTCACGAATAATTTCCATACCTAAAATCTTTTTGGCAGCTCCTAAGTCCTTCATTTCAAATTCAGCTTTCAACTGGTCTTTTAACTTCTGAATCTCCTTCATATCTTTCGCTGCAATCAACATGTCATCCACGTACAAGAGTAAGTAGATCTTTGAACCATTGTCACCTTTCTTAAAATAAACGCAGCTATCATAGGTGCACCTGCTGAATTTGTGACTGGTCATGAAAGAATCGAACCTCTTGTACCATTGTCTAGGAGATTGCTTGAGGCCATAAAGAGATTTGTTCAACTTGCATACGTAGTTCTCCTTTCCAGGAACTACAAAACCTTCAGGTTGTTGCATAAAAATCTCTTCCTCAAGCTCACCATTTAGGAAAGCTGTAGTGACATCAAGTTGTTCTAACTCAAAATCGTTAGAAGCAACCAACCCCAACAATACACGAATGGAAGTATGTTTGACAACTGGGGAATAAATGTCAGTGTAATCAATACCAGGAATCTGACTGTAGCCTTTAGCTACTAACCGAGCTTTGTATCTTGGTTTATCATTTGGGTTGACAGGTTCCTTGAGCTTGTAGACCCACTTGCATTTAACTGGTCTCTTCCCTTTCGGAATAGGAACTAAATTCCAAGTACTGTTTCGCTGCAAGGATTCCCTCTCATTTTGCATAGCGAGCATCCAATCATTTGAGTCTTCAGATTTGATAGCCTCGTCATAATTTGCAGGCTCCGTTGCAGACTCAATATTATCAGCAACAATAAAAGCATAGGCAACCAAATCAGATTCAGCATACCTCTTCGGAGGAATAATCTGTCTTCTCGGTCTATCTCTTGCAATGCTTGGAGTAGTAGCTTGTGGTTGTGAAAGTGTTGAATCTTCACCAACAACATGCTCATCCGACGAAGAAGAATCTTGATGCTGATTTGTACTCTGATTAGTGGTAGGTGAAGTAGGAAGCTCCACCTCCATTTGAGCATTCTCTTTATTTGCTTCGGATGATACATCTGATGCATCTGCTCTTTTAGAAGAGTCAGCAACTGGTTGAATTATAGCAGACTCATCAAAAGTAACATCTCTTGAGATGATAATTTTCTTCAAATCAAAGCTCCATAACTTGTAACCCTTTACACCTTGATTTTACCCAAGAAAAACGCATTTGATTGCTCTTGGTTCTAGCTTCCCATTGTCAACTCGTGCATACGCTGGACATCCGAATGGTTTTAAATCTGAATAATTGGCAGTTTTACCGGACCATAACTCAAACGGAGTTTTCTTCTCGATTGCTCGTGACGGTGATCGGTTGATAACATAGCAAGCAGTCGAAGCAGCCTCCGCCCAAAAATACTTTGGCAATTTGGAATTAGAAAGCATACACCGGACCTTCTCCATAATGGTGCGATTCATCCTTTCAGCTACACCATTTTGTTGAGGTGAATGGACTACTGTGCGATGTCGAGTAATGCCTTCCTTTTGACAATAGACATTAAACTCTTCTGAGCAAAACTCAAGTCCATTATCCGTACGAAGATACTTTACCACCAGACCTGATTGCTTTTCAACCTGAACTTTCCAATTTCTGAAGGTAGAGAAAACGTCTCCTTTATTTTTTAAGAAGAAAGACCACACCTTCCTGGAGAAATCATCAATAATAGTGAGCATATAAATAGCTCCACCTTTTGAAGCAACTCGAGCCGGTCCCCACAAATCCGAGTGAACATAATCAAGTGGTCCTTTCGTTGTATGGATACCACTTGCAAACCTTACTCGTTTTGCCTTGCCATATACACAGTCTTCACAGAAATCCAAATCAACAATCTTTTGTTGACCAAGTAAACCTCTTCGACTCAATTCTGACATGCCTTGAAAACTCATATGGCCGAGTCGAAGGTGCCAAAGACGGGACTGATCTGGATCAGAAAAAGACTTTGACACAACAGCAGCATCACTCGAAATTGTTTGCCCGTCAAGAAAGTAAAGATCTGAGGTTTTTCGTTTGGCTCTCAGTTTGTCGGAACCGTCTTTGAATACCCTGAGAACTCCACCTTTACCAGCAAACTCGTATCCCTTTTGTCAAAGGAACTGAGAGACAACAAGTTTCTTCTGAGGTCAGGAACATATCTAACATCCCCATGGTTCGAATAACTCCGTCAAAATACGGATCCTGACTGAACCATGTCCAAGAACTGGACATGTAGTATTGTTACCCATCAACACATAGCCCTGGTTAACCTTTTCAAATGTGTAAAACCAACTTTTGTTGTGACACATATGAAAAGTACAACCAGAGTCGAGTATCCAATCACCAGTGGAATCCAGTTTATCTGAATAAACTGTCAAAAGTTCTCCAATACCTTCGACCTCAGCTAGATCGGCTTCACCCGAAGTGCTAGCTTGTTTACCATTTGCTGTCGTCTTCTTTTTTTCTTTGTTCTTCAACTTGAAGCATTCTTCAAGCACATGTCCCTTCTTGTGACAATAGTTGCAAAACTTTCGTTTGCCTTTTGACTTGGATCTGGTTCTGTTGGAAGATTGAGAAGTTCTACTTCTCTCTGTTGTTCTTCCTCTGGCATTCAAACCTTCGACTTTAGCATCACTTGAACCACCACCAGTAATATGCTTCATCTTCTCTTTTGAATCCAAAGCTGTATAGACTTCATCTAAAACTAGAGTGTCACGGCTATAGATAATAGTATCACGAAAATGGCTATAGGATTCTGGCAACGACGATAGTAAGAATAGAGCCAAGTCTTCATCTTCATACTGAACATCCATATTCTCTAAGTTATTTACTAACTCTTTAAATGTGGATATATGTTCAGTTAAAGAGCCTCCTTCAATCATCTTGAGATTGAACAACCGTTGCTTCAAATGCAACTTGTTTGGTAAGCTCTTGGTCATCAACAGTTGTTCCAACTTTAGCCATAAAGAAGCCGCTGACGTTTCTTTTAGAACATCTTGCAAACATCGTTTGACAAGTGCAAACGAATTTGGGATAAAGCCTTCAGATCTTTCATCTCCTTTTCTTCTTCGGTCCATGTATCGGGCATCTTATTGAAACCCAAGAGCGCCTTGTGTAAATCCATCTGAATGAGAATGTCTCTCATCTTTACTTGCCACAACGGAAATCGGGTGTTACGATCCAGTAGTGGAATATCGTATTTTACCGAAGACATGATTAATTACTTGATAAAATGATCCCAACGAGCTAATATCACAACCCGGATGCTCTGATACCAATTGTTGTAAAATACGACGGATCCAAATTGACTTAAATAATATTAGCTCAATGCGGAATGGGATCAAAAATTATCAAAGCGTAATAATCACAACGTAATACGAATAAAATAAATAGAATAGAGACACAGGAATTTACGTGGAAACCCAAATCGGGAAAAAACCACGGGCGGAGGAAGCCGAGAAACAATTCACTATAATTTGCAGTGTTTACAGAGATTATGAAAGAGATTACAAATAGAGTGGGAGAGCTAAAATACACGGTGGTGTATAAGTATATATATTTAATGCTTTTCTATATATACTTCGATTTTGGTTCGTGTTCTACGCTATTGTTCTGCTGCAACACAGATATTTATAGGGAGAGTAGCCGTAAAGTTTCTTCCAATTAACACCAAATTGCCGTAATGTTTGACAACTTTCTTACCGTCCAAATTTGCCGTCCATTGACAATAAAATAAACAATTGTTTAGCAAAACAATTATTTGGCCGACTGTTGCGTAGTCAAAGAATTCAATTCAAATGGAGCTGCCATTTTTGACATATCAATATATATCCCGTCCATCAATATTCAATTACCATATATATTACTATTCATAGTCAAACTATGAATAGTAAATGATAAGTTACTGAAATAACCCCTGAACTATTTGCCACTTGCTAATTTTGGAGGTAACTTTTCCATATTTTGTTTACTTAATAGGCTTAATTAATAAATTAAGCACTTGATTTGGATAATATCATGTTGACTTAACATGAGAACCAAAAGATATCACAAGATGAAAAAAGATATGTATAGGAAAAATACAAATTTACAAGACCTGAAAGTCTTTGAACATCTAATTTGGGGCAATTATTTCAATTCTTCATGTCTAATTTGTCTTATAGTTTGTTTATATTTCAAAGGAAAATAAGGATTTTATGGCCCACACGATGTATAAGTCTTTGAACGTTTGATTTGGTTCAGTTTATTTTAATTTGTTTTTCTAATTTGTCTTATAGTTTGTTATATTTCAAAGGAAAATAAGGATTTTATGGCCCACACGAAGTATAAGTCTTTGAACGATTTGATTTGGTGCATTTTATTTCAATTCTTCTTTTCTAATTTGTCTTATAGTTGATCTATTTGAAAGGAATATATGGACTTTATGCTCGAATTACAACTCACAAGATGTGTGTACACTAAAGAAAGATAATTCTTGTGAAAATTGGTAGGAACAATTTTATTTTTTCTTTCTTTATATTGATATCTTTTTTAGAGAATAAAAATAATAAATTTTAGTATATTTTTTCAAAAAGAATATAGTTGTAAAAATGAGAAATAATAAACCATTTGTTGATGAATATGCCTCCCTTCCTCCCTCCCTCTCTATGTGTGTGTAGTTTAAACTAATATTTTATGCGTTGTAATTTCACTTGGCTGGATAATATTTTATCTTAATTTTTAAATAAATGACCAACAAATAGGTGTGCAGTTTTTTGACGCCATATATCCACTTGAATCCTTCATTTTCACAGTTTGCAGCACTATATAAAGCTGCATGGGGCATCTTCAAATTTTCATCAATACAAACAAAAGAAATCACCAAGATTTGCATTTACATCATGCATCCTTGTGTTTTTATAATATTCTCACTTCTCTTGCTATGTCTTGAGACTACAACTGCCAACCAATTGGCAGTAGTGGGAGGAGGAGATCATAATGTCTCTGTGAAAAAGTGTTTTGAGAAGGAGAAAGATGCTCTCCTTCATTTCAAAGCTCTTCTTCAAGAACCTTCTGATTTCCTCTCTATGTGGACAGCTGAACAAGACAAATTGCTGTGAATGGAGTGGAGTGACGTGCGACAGCAAAACAGGTCATGTCACAGGGCTTGGTCTGATGTCCTGTGGTCTTGTAGGTGAGATTAGCCATTCATTGGTTAACTTAACCTACTTGAATTATCTTGATCTTTCCTTCAATTCTTTTCATGGAACCATTCCTGCGATCATTGGTACGTTGACTCAATTAAGGTACCTTCTCCTTAGAAACAATAATCTTAATGGAACCATTCCCAGGTCCATTGGTTCCTTGACTGAATTAAGAGAGCTTCACCTTTCTTTTAACTCTCTTTATGGAACCATTCCTCCAGAGTTCGGAAACCTCACCAACTTGGAAGGGCTTTACCTTTCAAATGTTGGAAGGTGTAGAGTTGAGAACCTAGACTGGTTGTCTCCTCTATCTCATTTGGAATGGCTTTTTATAGAGGGGATTTCACTAGCCAAAACAAATCATTGGGTAGATGTTATTCTGAGTCTTCGTAAACTCTTGTGGTTAAGTTTATCGGGATGTGAGCTGTCACAGGTCATGTATCCATATTCTTCTTCATTTCTCAACTCTTCTTATTCCTCATCTATTGAATACCTTTCTCTTAGAAACAACAGTCTCACCTCATCCATGTATCGTTGGTTGTTCCCATTAACCAGCAATAAGCTTTTCCATCTTGATCTTTCTAGCAACATGTTAGATGGGATATCCAAATATCTTGGTAACCTCTGTAGTTTGGAAACTTTGTTCTTCGATAATAACCCTGCTGTTGTCACATTTCCTGATTTTCTCAACAACTTGTCTGGATGCACATCGCTTTCATTACAACGGTTGTATGCTTCAGGAAGCCAATTTACAGGGTCATTGCCTGATGACATCCAAAAGTTTACATCCCTAACAGGTCTGTCCCTCTCTGAGAATCAGTTAAAAGGAACTATAAGTAAGAAACTGTGGGAACTGCCCAATCTTACATATCTTGAACTTTCTGAGAACTCACTCCAAGGATTTCCTTCCTCAGATTATATGTCAAACCTTCCTGATATAGAATATATTGATCTGAGCTCTTGCAAGCTAGGGCCTCGCTTCCCCAAATGGATTCAAAAATTTAAAAAATTTTACCCGTATTAAAATTGCAAATAATGGTATTTCAGAAACAATTCCTCACGAATTTTGGGACTTGTGGCCTTCCCGGCTAACATTCTTGAATCTTTCTTCCAACAATATATAAGCGGGAAAGTACCAGATCTGTCATCAAATTTTGACAACAATTCAATGATAGATTTAAGCTCCAACAACTTTGATGGTCCAATAACTAATGTCTCTTCCACTCTGCAATTACTAATTCTTTCCAGAAACAAATTCTCTGGAGGAATCTCCTTCTTATGCAAGATTGTCCATGGCTTTTTAGTTATTCTTGACCTCTCCCATAACCTTCTCAGCGGACAACTTCCAGACTGTTTGTGGCATTTCAAAGAACTAAAAGTTCTTAATTTAGAACACAATAATCTGTCTGGAAGGCTTCCTGCCTCTGTTGGATCTATGATTAAGCTCGAGGCATTGGATCTGTACAAGAACGATTTCTCTGAAGAATTTCCTTTGTCTGTTAAGAATTGCACAAGCTTAAAGTCATTGAATTTGGGGGCCAACAAGTTTTCTGGTAATTTGCCTGTTTGGATTGGGGAAAACTTATATGGGTTGTATGTTCTTACGTTAAGATCAAACAACTTCTCCGGAAGCATCCCTTTACAATTCTGTCAATTAGCAAGTCTTCAAATTCTAGACTTGTCGGTGAACCATTTCCATGGAAGCATCCCCTCATGTTTGAGTAATCTTACGATCATGGTGCAACAAGGATTCTCTCAAGCACAGAATTTAGATCCTAACAATCCATTAATAATATATTCATATAATGTTGACCATGTGATGATCCAGTGGCAAGGAACTGAACGTGAATTCATCAGAAGTAATATGAAGTTGTTGAGGAGCATCGACCTGTCAAGCAACAACTTAACAGGGGAAATCCCATATCAGATCACCAATCTTGATCAACTGATTGCACTGAACTTGTCAAAGAATGCTCTTCTTGGAAAGATTCCATTGAACATCAGTCAGATGAAAAATCTTTTAACTTTGGATTTATCTAGAAACAAGTTTTCAGGAGAAATACCATCAAGCATATCTCAAATGACCTTATTGAGTTACCTAGACGTGTCATGTAATAACTTGTCAGGGAGAATCCCATCCAGCACACAACTTCAGTCCTTTGACCCTTCAAGATACCAAGGGAATTTAGGGCTTTGTGGACCTGCCCTTACCAAAAAATGTCCACAAGATGAAGAATCGGAAATACAACACATAATTGGTGAAAGTGAGGGTGAAGGTATAGACGAACTTGATGTATGGTTCTATATTGGTGGGGCCATTGGTTTCACTATTGGATTTTGGATAGCATGTGGTGCTTTACTCCTCAACCGTCGTGGAAGATATGCTTTTTTTATGTTTCTTGATAGCTTCAAAGATTGGGTTTATGTGAAGGTGGTGGTGTTCATTGCAAATTTGCAAAAAAGATGAACATAGATAGTCATGTAAAACCATGTTTCATTTTTGTATTTAGCATGGGTTTTTAAGTCCCATTTATCAATAAAATTGCCACCAACACCACGGGTGGCCATTTTTCATCGCTGTCCCATTTGGTCATTTTTCAGTCATTTGTTTTGTACACATTTGACCAATAAACTTGGATTAATCAACAAATTTTCTAGGAAATATAGTGCTCAAAAGGATGATCCATCCATATACATTGCTTTTCTTTAAGACTATAATTAATAATATATTTTACCTTATGTTTCCTAGGGCCTTATGTAAATCAATGTTCAACTCAGAAAAACAACATTATTATATTAAAATAATACCCTACCTAAGTTAAATGTCATTACTTAGCATTAACAATTCATCATTTATTACAAATTCCACCAACATTTGAGCATGTTACATAAAACGGAAATGAAAACATGCAATATAGGTAATGGGAAATGAACTAAAATGATGATTATTTCAAAAGCTTAGAACCAGAAGTTGATTTCTATTCTGAATATAACTTGGAATCATTAATTGCACTCCATCATAAAACAAATATATTTCAGAAAATGTTTCATATCAACCAGTTGAAAAGAAGAGTGTACCAAAACTGTGCATTATAATGATGAGCCGGGTGTCTAGAAGAGGGAAAATTTTCATCAACCCGGAAAGTCAAAGTTAATGAGTCAAAGTTGTTAGTTAACTGGCCATAAATGGGAGGGAAATTCTGTTAGACTTGGATGTAAAGAGTATAAAGGGAGGGAAGTCGAGAAGCGTTAATTTTGTAATATGCATCAAGTGGTATAAGAGCAGTTTCGATTCACCATGGAAATAAGATTAACAAACAATCACATGGAGGGAAATGAAGGCGGAATAACAAAATTACAATCCACAAAAGCAAAGCAAATGCGTGAATCCACAATCAAGGATAGGTTCCACATTTGAATCCATGGAATTGGAGGGAATGTTACAAGAAATTCTGCAACAATTTACCCATCTCAATCAAATTCAAGAAGAATCAAATAGAAGAGATAGATCACCATTTGAAGATGGAGAAAGATCAAGAAACAGAGGACCATTTAAGAACCAAAACTAATTTCTGCTATCTTAGGTAAACAATTAGAGATATCTATCTTTGATGGCTCTTGGATTTAAAAGTTGATCAATATGTTTCCCTAAATCGATTGTACAATGATGAAAGTTTGGAGGTTGCGATGAACTGAGCACAATAGAAGATCGATTTGTAGTTGGGAAGATTTAAAACAAATGATCTTGAATCAATTTCGAAAAACAATGGACATAACATTTTGTGATCAAGTGTTGGTGGCAAAACACGATCGTACAGTGAGGTTAGAAGAAAAATGAAGAATTAGAAATCAAGATCAAACACATGAAACAAATTTATTCTTAGCAATCAAATTCTTGAATCTATTCACTTCTTTTAGACATATCATCAAACATTTGGAAGGTGGACTGACCTTTTGAAGATAATTCTTTCTTTTCATTCAAATGACACCGACTAGAGATACAAACCTGCAATGGAGTTCAAGAATAAAAGGAAAGAAATAGAGAAATTGGGATAGAAAACAATGTAGATGAAGTCGTGGATGGTTTAATTCTTGTCCGAATTCGAGTGCATCCGAAGATCTTGCTGCCGAAAAAAGGTGCTAGCTAAGAAAAGAGTCAATAAAAAGCATTGTGCGTGAAGAAGATGGGAAGCTAGTTGATTCAGAGGGCGGGGTGGGTAATTTAGTTAAAAAAAACATAATTCATGTTCAAGGTACAAGTCATTAAGCCTAATAATCCTTATATTAATTTTAGCTTTTTTATTGACGTTGAAGTTGAAGAAAGGGAGACATGCTTCTTAGGGATGTTAAAATGGTAATATCACAAGGGTGCTCAACAATTATAGAAAAGAATGTTGCAATCAACATTGTTGATGGTTTAAACTTTAATGGAATTTTACAACTTCGGACACGGTTTGGGAATGGTCAATTACTCGAGGCTCAGTTTGTCCATCACTTGCAAATGTTTCAACGTCAAGCAGGGTTACTATTTGATAGAGGATATAAACACAAAAAGTTTTTTTTTCATGAACTTCAACTTAAGGACAAGGTGATAGTTTTGAGGATAGGTATTCATGACTGTCTAGAAGTAGAAAAATCAAAGAAGTTAATCAGGAAAGTCCAAGTTAAATGAGTCAAAAGGAAGGAAATCGGGTAACATTAGATTCATTCGGTCATTTTGTAATCAGTAACAAGTCTTTGGGAGAGACTCATCTCTCAAGTGTGGAAAATCAATCCATTCAAGCTTTAATTCCACTATCACTTTTGATTTCCATCAAATTTTTGTGACATAACTTCATTATAGTTTGATGAAGTTGTAACTCTTTGTATTGATGTTATGTGCGGTGTGCTACATCCTCTTCAAGATTATTATTATTATTATTATTATTATTATTATTATTATTACTATTGAATAGTTGAATTTTATAAAGAACCATTACCAAGAAGCTAGAAAATTACAAAAACAAATCTAAGAAAGGGTTTAACAACCATTGAACCCATCTAGCGGAAACATTAGAGTTTCTTTGCTGCATATTCTTCCAACATATATATATATATATATATATATATATATATATATATATATATAATATATATATATATATATATATTAGTTGCGAGACCCGTATGCTATACGGGTTCATTAAAATAAAATATTAAATACGAAGGAGTAAACAGAAGTTTATGTGTATTTGAAATTTGAAAAAAAATGAAAATTATGAGAAAAAAATTAAATAGTAAAGAAATAAAAATGCGAAAAATTAAAAAATTAAAATTACGTGTTTAGTTGTTAGATCCGTGTAGTAAACGGGTTAATTATAACAAAATGTTAAATACGAACGGTTAAACTATAATTTATTAGAATTTGAAATTTAAAATTTGAAATTTGAAATTAATATAGTTATTATGGTATGTTTAATTTATAGAAACTAAATTAATGATATATTGGAAAATGAAAAATGAAGTAATGACAAGTGGAAAATGAATATCTCTAAATTACTATAAATTAACATTTGGCAATTGAAAGAGAGAATGACATGTGACAATAAGATTTTTATTTATTAGAGAGGATATATATATATATATATATATATATATATATATTATATATATATATATATATATATATATATATATAGAGAGAGAGAGAGAGGAAAGATAATTTGAGAACTAAAAGTTTCCCGAGAACTAAAAGTAGAGCGTCCGATCAAAAAATTTAATGGCTTAGATTAAAAATGGCATACTTGTAATTATAAGTAAGTATCACGGCATTTTAGGTTTTTAACTTTTTATCAATGAACATTAGGGGTAAATTTGGTATAAAAAATATTCTTTCAAAAATCAATAAAATAAAAATTACTAATTAACCTGAAATCCATAAATTACTCTCTCTCTCTCTCTCTCTCACCTCTTCTGCACATGACCGTCTCCCTCCTCCCTCCTTCTACCGCCTCCTACCTCCCTCCATTGATCACCGTTACCTTT